GATTTTGATTATCATGTGGTGCTAAAAATTTAAATATCAAAAGCAGTCCTTACATGAAAGTATTTGATATAGTCTCTGAGTATGGACATAGGAGTAAGAACATGGGATAGGGTCAATAATTAAAATAAATATGAAATAATAAAGGCTATCCTTTGTATGGCAAATTTATAATCATGATTTTATTCCATGAAACATAACATTAACTCTCTACTGAGGAATGTCCTTTTATAAAATTATAATATTAAGGCAAAAGAGAATGGTAAAGACTGTATAATAATATATTCACAATATTTTGTGCTCCCAGGAATCCCTCCAGAATGTAGTAATCAAATAAGTCTATGTGATTTGGAATTGTTTGCTTTGGATTTTATTGAAATGATTTTCTTCTGGTATTTTAAGTTTTTATTGATTTTAGCAAAATAGATAAGTAAAAGCAAGCAAAGATAGGGAAACACATTCTCTGAAGCATTTTTAAGAGAGAATTTGTCAATTTGTTACTGTATAATATATAAGGAAAGGTAACAGGCACATATATTTACACACATGCACACACTTTGCCTTTTCTTATATGTCTGTCTACCTGTGGTCAGGTAGACAGTATTCATGTATATGTGCATAGACTTAGATGCTTTTTCCAGGGCCTCTACACAGTTTAATAGAAGTCATGGATGCTAATCAAGAAAGAAAAAAATGCATATCCCATGGACATTTTTGCTCTCTATATAGACAAGTTTTCACAATATATCCCACCTTTACTTTAAAAGAGAACACTTTCATATTCTAAAAGAACTGATCAAGTCTTACATGCTACCTTATACTCCCCTTTGAAGTTATTATTCAGTTTCTCATTACTTTTATTCTGAAATTCTGAAAATCATAATTTCTAGACAATGCTTCCACCTTTCCACCAAACATTTCTAATTCTCTATATAGACTTTTCTAATCTAACTAATCTAAATCTAACTGTAGACATTCTAATCTACTGATATTTTTCAAATGTTGGTAATATTTGCCTCATGTTAAATGTTGCTGCTAAGTATTAATCTTCCTTCTCTATTCTCATTGATAGGGATATTTATAGTTTCTCACCTATATTTTTCCATGTCTATTGCCAAGAAACTGGATTTTCTTATTAGGAATTATTTCAAGTCTGAAGTCAGACTAGCATTGAATACTTACACATCCACTCACTAGCTTTGCATCCTTGGTAGTTATCCACTCTGTACCGTGGTTTCTTCATTGCTGGAGAGGAAGGGTAATAGTATGTATAACATACAGTTGATATGTGGAAAAATCCAGAACCTTGCCTGGATTAGTGAGAATTACCCAATTATTAGCTATTATTTTTCCTATAAATTTACTAACGGTGTCTTTGTAAGTAATTAGCATGAAGAAATTTGTTATTCCTTGATGTGTGTTTGCACATTTTTTTCTCTTAGGCATGGGCATAGAATGACTTGTATGCTGTCAGAAAAGAAGAGGGAAGGGGGACAAATGGAGAACAGAGGAAACATAGTTAATATTTTATTAGTGAGGTGTTAGCTACATTACTTCAATGGCAGTTTACACAGGTTGTTTATTTCTCACATAGCAGTTGGTTGTAGAGCAATACAAGCTGTTAGGACAGTGGTCCTCAACCAAGTCTTTCAAGGGCCCAGGTTATCATAATTTGGTCATATTCTTCTTGTCGGGCTGTCATTCCTCAGAGCAGTATCTGCATCTACGTGGTTGAAGAGGACCCATTAATTTATCTGTGTTTCATCTCCCAGGAAAGATTGTGGAGGAATTCAGGGTAAGTATCAGAAGTCAGATGCATTTCTTCTAGTGCATTCTACAGATGGGCCTATGTCAATGACATACTTGTATGTGAGAGAAGCTGGGAAATGGTTGATAACTAGGTCATCAACTGCCTAGATTAAACTTGGAGAATTCCTTACTGGAAGGTAAAAGAAAAAAACATCATGCTGATGGTAGCAGTGTTTGCTATAGTATTTTAAAGTTGCACCCAATGAAAATTACTTTAACAATTGTTCATTCCATAATTTGTAAATGTGTTTTCTTATTTGGTATACAGGGAAGATGACAAAGAAGTTATAATTGCAAAATATTTTCTAATCCATATTGTTTTTGCAATAATTGTGCTGATGTGATATTTGTAAAATCCACATCTCTTATTACAGTGTTGACTCAAAATTATATTATATCGTAAAATTATGCTAAGTGAAATAAGCCAGTCAGAGAAAGACAAATACCATATGATTTCACTCATATGTGGAGTCTAATGAACAAACTGAACTAACAAAGAAAATGGAGATAAGCTCACAGCTGGAAAGCAGGATGGTAGCTAGTGGGGAGCGGTGAGGGTTGGGGGGTATAGCTACTGAGCAACAAGAAAAAAATATTACAGAATGGACCTGGGGGTTATGGGGTCCCTCAGTCACTGTGGATTCTTTGACCCCACCAGGGAATTGGAATTAATGACTTTCAATGCCAGCATTTGGTGAAAAGGAAAAGATTTATTTATTCAGAAGTTATACAGATTTAGAGTAAGGACTAAATGTCTTTGTTAAAATTCTAAAGTCCCTTAAAATACCCACAAACACACACAGTCCTTCCTTCCCCCCTTTGCCCAATGAGGCTAGTCAGGTGTACCGTATATCTCAGGAAAAAAATAGAAGTCTATGGCTCAGCTAGCTCCTGGTTCTTCCTAGTAATCTGTGCTTGGCTGGCAGGTCTCCCGTGGTTCCCAGCACCATCAGCTGTGTAGCCACAATATCCAGTTCTTAATCCAAAACCAGGTGGCATCTTCTCATGGCCCACCAGCAATTCTTTCACTCCTTTCCTTCCCTCCTTTCTTTCCACAACATATCTCCTTCATTTCCCCGAATTGCTAACAGAGGTCTGCATGGCTGCTACATCTTGCTTTCCTACTTCCTAAGCCACCTGATAAAGGGAGCACCCTCTGTACCCCCAACACTGCATCGTTAGAATCCGCATGGCTGCCACACCTGGGTTTTAAATCCTGGTGCTAATGCCCTCTGCAACCCCTTTTCCAACTCCACCTGCAACTGACTTCATCCGCTAGTATTCCCATATTTTTCCAGCCTTTCTGGGCTGCCATAGTAAGTCTGGGCAGAAGTGGTGCAGTGGCATGGAGGGAACCATCTCCAAGCTGTCACAAAGGTGCTGTAACCTGGAGGAGCTGCCTCCCAGTTATGTCATGGGTCGAAGTCACTCCCATCTCCCTGGCTCAAAGTATGGCCATAGTTATTTAAGATATCTATGAAGCTAGCCAGCTGTTATAGACATGTAAAATAACCATTTTTACATGGCAGGTATAAAGCTGGCCAACTGTTGTTATGCAAAATAACTCAATGGCTCAGCTCCATGTGTCCCATCCCCCAGTTCAGACTTCTGTGGGTGAGGATATCCTATATTTTCATATTCCCTGGACACCCCAAGTTCTGGACCCCATTATAAAACCCTCTTTGGTGGGGTCCTGGCTGTACCCGATTTTTGGAAACCACCTAGCCTGGTTTCAGAAGTTGTAACGCCCCCATGGCTCCTGAGTGAGAGACCTTAGAACCATAAGCTACTAAGGAGACAAAGCTTATCTCTCCGGCAGGGGGGCCACCTCTGCCCCTTTTATTTCACCCTGCTTGGCCTTGAGCAGATGACTGGTTAGCCAATCATGGGTAAGATTCCTCAAGGGAGGGATTATCTAAGACAGCACATTCGCAAAGGGGCCCTCAGGGAAGGACTTTGGGGGCTATAGAAAAAGGGGGTGATGAACCTTCACCCCTCAGCTTTGACATAGCCTGAGTCCTCATTATGTCTGCAAAAAGGCTCCTAATCTCTTGGCTGCCTTACTTACCCTGCCCAATTTAAGTCTGAAACAATGCTGGAGGTGGTGTGTGCCACCCTGTGCTGAAAAGGGTAGGTTCACCAGGAGATCAGGTCTAAGAAAGAAGGCACAAAATCCTGTGAAACCTGCTTTGCTAATACCCTCAATTTAAATAATTAGAGTCAAAGCATGAAATGAGTCTGTTTCCCCAAAGTTTTATGGCCCTTTAGCTAACTGACCCTGACTCAGAATAAGCCCTCAGACTTCTTTGAATGTTATCTGTTGTTTGATCATTTCTGTCCGACAATGACTGAGCTTTACCTATACACTCTGTGCAAATTAAACCAAATAAAAGCCCATTGAGGAACAGGCTCCTGGCCCTGCTCCTTTTAAAGATCAGGTACCTTTCCTCCCCAAGCAGATCATGTCTTGGTAGACTTACTCTCATCCATGGTGGACTGGGGGGGTTGGGGGCCTCTGCCTACAGAGGAGGAACCTGTTACAAAAGGACTCATGTACATGGACAAGAGTGTGATGATTGCTGATTGCTGGTGTTAGGGGGATATAAGGGGACTAAATGGTAATAGAATGCAATAAAGATTAAATAAAAAATGTAAACTATATTCATTTGGCAATCATGCATTTCAAAATCATTTTCGTTTAAGATTTTTCTTTGAATTCTTCTAATGGTAACCTGTCCTCTTCTATATATGTCTAAGTGGATTTAAAGTTCACTCTGCTCAAGAGCAGATATATCAGCATTTGAGTTCTGAAAATTACTGTATAAACTTTGATAAGTTTTCTTTAAGAATATTTTATGACCTTTTAAATGGGGTATTATTATCTCTGGATAGTTATGAGAATTAAATATCGTTGAGAATATAAAGGATCTTAACATAGACTCTGGTACTCAATAAATGTATATTCTCTTTCTCTTTATCCTTTCTCTTATTTGTGGATCTAGAATCATTTCCATTTTCTAGGCAGAGAATTAGAAATGGGAAGACTACATAAGACTGTTGAATTGATGAAGTTTTCCTGTGTCACTACACTAACGAGGTGTTAGTGTTCGTCATAATTCGTTTACAAACCCTTCATGAAGACCTTTCCAAATCTCTCAAATTCTCTCTGCTTACTTTTATTTCCATAGGTCTGAAGCACCAAGGAGTCTCATTTTGTATGTGGAGAAAAAAGCACAAAAAAGAGATCCATTTAAACCTTGTCTTTGTTTGAAATGTGCAATTTCAGCTAACTAATTTCACCACTAAGTAAGTAACTTTTTATTATTATTATTAATCATGATGTCTACTTTCACTGTTGGAAATTTCAAGGCAAGTGCATGAAAATTTCCAAAGAGAGGAAGTCAAATATCTGTTATTTATGGTTTGTTCAAATTGATCGTGATAATGAATTACGGCAACTAGTGGAAAGTTGAATTTCCAAAATATTTCAAAAATCATAAAAATATATGTTACAAATAAAATGTGCAGAACAAAATTGATATTAATATGCTATGACACTAATTTATGTTGCATGTATATCATTTTTTAGTTTTATTGAAAAACTTTGATGAGCTCAAAGGTTTACTAAAACAGAAATAGTCACTATACATCTTAGAGATTCAATATTCAACTGGTTATGTTCATTTGTCTGTGATTTACATAAACACTAATAATTGTCTCTACATTAGCTTGGATCTAGACTTACAGATATTGAACAAATGTGTTTTTTTTAATAAAAAAAAATAAGCCTGCAAATGTTTCACTGAACATATAATTCTATGTTTCAGTAATGTTATATACCAGGGAGAATTGAATCACATTTTCTAAACTCATCTTCTGAAACAAGTCTCAGGGATGAGAAATAATATCTGTGCAATATCATATAAAGAAATGAAAACAGTGAAATGTTCTTTAAAAATACTATAGACTGTAGAATCACATATTGTTTGGAAGCTAGGTTCAAAATTAAGGTGAAAATTACTGGGATAAAAATTGCTGGGATATGTCCTTTAAACAACCTATAATGTATACTATAAATGGGAGTGTATACAGCAAATTTTGTGAAGAAATGATTTTAAAATAACTGAGCTAGAGAATAGGTACGAATAAAAAATCACTAAGTGCATATATGTGTCCTTTCAAACCATTTTGATTAATATTAAAGACTGATTATATGAAAGTATATTGAGTACTTGGCACATTTTGAAGCACTTACAAGTTTTAGTTCATTTATTTTTACCAAATGTAATTAAATACTCTTATAACTTGATGATGTTCGTTAACATTATCATCAAATGCCTAATTTTGAATCAACACTTCTGATATATGTCTGCTTACCTGCAGGGTTTATTAGATTTTTTTACATTGTTTCTGAAATGTAAATTTGCATGTATGTCTATGTATGTGAATGTGTATATGTGTGTATGCATAAAAAGATTGAATTTGTCCTAGTGAAGTTTACATAGGTCAGTGCTATGAGTTTTTTTTAAAGTATTGGGTAGTTTAGGAACTACAGTGAATTAATTGTGTATGGGACATTTTTTCTCATCCTTTCTATGGCAATATCTGCCTCCTTACATGTCATTGTGAATTCACATGCTTATATTATTTAATGATTACTATAACTATTTATTTTGATGTTCAAATAATACCAAATGTGACCAATAGGAGCTCTTTCAAGAAGCATTCAATTTTTTCCCACATGATTCTATTGCTCTTTGAATGCTTCATGCGTGACAAAATACAGCTGTTTTACTGGCCACGGACTTATATGCAGCCATTTCTCCAAGGTATCCTAATTTGTTTTAGTGGCAAATGGTAGTTGCAAACGTGCCCCCGGGTGCTAAGTGTACTAATGGCTTTTGACATGTCATTGCTTTTAGATCCTTTCAGTAAACATATATAGGATGTATTTTTAAATGAAATTTTGTATTGCAGAACACTTCTACATTTATAGAATTATTGCAAAGAAAGTTTTCATAAACTCTGCACTCAGTTACCCTTATAATTAATATCTTACATTTGTTCAATGTATTTGTTTAACTAACCAATATTGAAACATGATTAATAGTCCACATCTATTCAGATGTGATTAACTTTCACTTAGTGTCTCTTTTCTGTTGCAGGATCTCGTCCAGGAGACCATGTTGTATTTAGTCATTCTGTTTCCTTGGCTTTCCTTGGCTGTAAGAGTTTCCCAGATACTCCTTGTTTTCAGTGACATTGAAAACCATGGGAACTACTGTTCAGGTGTTTTGTAGAAAGTTTCTTCATTAGACTGTTCTCAATTAGACTTAGAAAACATGTTTTCTAGTGATTAGATTGTGGTTATGGGATTTTGGAAGAAAGATGAAGAATGAAGTGCCAATTTTTAGCACATTACATTAAGGGTATATAGGATCCTGTCTTATTGTTGTTAGTTAACCTTGATCTCATGGCTGAAGGAATGATGTGTCAAGTTTTTACACTTTCAAGTTACAGTTTCCCTCATTTTCATCACATACTCTTTGGAGAGAAGTCACAATATAAAGACAATGCTTGAGGAATGTGGATTTAAACTCCCCTTCCTAGAAGGCAGGCTCCTGGGATTTGGGTTGAAATTGTATTGAATCTATAAATCAATCTTGGAAGGACTGACATTTCAACAATATTGTCTTTCAATCCATAAACATGAAAAGTCTCTTCATCTATTTAGCTCTTGTTTGACTTCTTATAATTCTGAAGTTTTCAAATAAATATTCTATGCATATTTTGTTAGATTTATACCTGAGTATTTATTTTAGGGGTGTTCAAATAAATGGTATTGATTTTAATTTCAAAGTCAAATTGTTTATTGATAGTATATAGAAAATAACTTGTATAATAACTCTGTGTCCTATGACTTTACTGTACTGTAATATTACTTGTAAGATTTTTTTGTTGTTGATTCTTTGAGAATTTCTATGGAGATTATCCTAACATTAGAGAATAAAGACAGTTTTATTACTTGCTTCCCAATCTGTCTACATTTTTTTGCTTTCCTTGTCTTAATAAACTAGGTAGGACTTCCAGTACACTGTTGAATAGGAGTAATTAGAAAGGATAACTTTGTTTCTTTCACATTTTGGGGGAGAAAGCATTGAGTGTCTCACCATTAAATACTATGTTCACTATGTTTTATAGACATTCTTTATCAGGTTGAGAGAGTTCTCCTCTATACCTAGTATGCTGGCAGTTTTTATCATTAATGGATATTAGATTTTGTCAAATTATTTTTCTAATTCAATTGTTAATGTGGTGGTGATTTTTAAATGTTGAAACAGTCCCGAATACCTGGAATAATCCCCATTTGTATGTGAGATATAATTGCTCTGTAATATTACTGAATATGATCTGCTGCTGTTTTGTTGAGGATAGTTTTGCATCTATAGAGGTATTAGTCTGTAGTAGTTCTTCTTGTCATTTGTCTATTGGTATTGTTTCTGATGACTAATAGAATGAATTAGGAAGCATTCCTTATGCTTTTTTTATCAGTCAATTTAGCCAATTTTATTTAACTTTATAAATAAATATATATATATTTAATTTATTTTTAACATCTTTAATTGCTGTTCAAGTACAGTTTTGGGCCTTTCCCCCCACCATTCCCCCTACCCCAGCCCTTCCCACCTCCTTCCCGTATTTCCACCCCCCCTTGTTATTGTCCATGTTTCCTTTATAATTGTTCCTGTAAATCTGCCACCCTTTCCCCCCATTATTCCCTCCCCTCTCCCCTCTGGTCACTGTCAGCCTGTTCTCTATTTCAGTGTCTTTGGTTATATTTTGCTTGCTTGTTCATTTTGTTAATATGATCTCACCTTTAACTGGAATCCTTATGCTTTTATATTCTAGAAGATATTATGTAGAATTGGTATCATCACTTCCTTAACTATTTGGAAGAATTTACCAGTGAAACCATTTCAGTGTGGGGATTTGGTCTTAGAAGGTTATTAAGAATTGATCCCATTTCTTTAATAGATATTGGCTTATATAGATTACCTGTTTGTCACTATGTGGATTTTGGTATTTTGTGTCTTTAAGAAATCTAGTTCATTTCATCTGAATTATCGAATTTGTGGGCATAGAGAGTTGTTGAAATCTTCTTTTATATTAGAGAATTTGTCTAGGTCTCTTTGAGGATGTGTAAGATTTTCTTTATGTATTATACTTTGTTTCCCTGTTGTTAGATGCAGACACATTAAGGACCGTAATGTCCTCTGGAGGAACTGACCCATTTACTCCTACTTTTTAGTATCTATGTTTTTTCCTGATTAATTTTCTTGTTCCCAAGTTTAATTTATTTTATATTAACATGGTTACTTCTACTTTCTTTTGATTAGTATTAGCATGCTGTATCTTTCTCTAATCCTTTTCTTTTAACCTATATAAAACTTAATATTTGAAATTGGATTTTCTGGAGGCAATATATAGTTGTACCTTTAAAAAAGTTCATTCCAATGATCTGTTTTATAATTGTAGTATTAAAACCACATTTGAAGTGATTAATGGTTTAGTTAGAATAACACCCACTATGCTTGTAAATGTTTTCTGTGCTTTGTATCAGTTCTTTGTTTCTTTTCCCGTCATCCTCTGCCTTATCTGATTTTGATTTAACCTCCTCTCTTGACATACTAATTATAATTCTTTTTCTCTTTTTTACTTTTGTTGTTCCCAGGTGAATTACAATATACATTTCAACTAATCTAAGTCCAACTCAAATGGCATTATTTGCTTAATGTGTAATGAATACACCTTAAAAGAATATCTTTTTTTCTGCCCTATTCCTCATGGCATTGCTGTCATTCCTCACTTATCAATATTCTATAATGACCAAATACACTGTTATTATTTGTATTGGGTTGGCCATGAAGGTTTTTTTCCTGTAAGATGTCTCTAGTAGCACTTAGTTGTCTTTAATTTCACTAAAGACAATTCTTTTAGATTGTATTGTGATAGTGTCATATCAACATGCATTTAAGAAAACATCAAAGTTGGTGAATTTTGGTGTAGCCATTTTAATATTGATGGCGAAGAAAATAAGTGACATTTTTGGCATATTATGCTTGATTATTTCAAGAAAGGAAAAATGCAACTGAAATGCTAAAAAAGATGTGCTTGGTGTATGGAGAAGGTGCTGTGACTGACTGAATGTGTCAAAAGCAGTTTGTGAAGTTTCATGCTAGAGATTTCTTGCTGCCATGGTGGGGCAGACCACTTGAAGCTGGTAGTGATCAAATTGAGATATTAATTGAGAATAATCAATATTATACCATGTAGGAGGCAGCTGACATACTGAAAATATCCAAATCAATAAAGTTATTGGTGAAAATGAAAAACATGTTTTTTTATTTTACAGAAAAAATGAAATGAAGTTTTTGGCTAACCCACTCCTTCAAAGAAACAGTTATCTTTTAGACTATATTACTTAAAAATAAAAAAATAAAGATTTAATTATGTATTTATTTAATCCTTCTCTGACACCCTCTTTCTTTATGGAAATCTGAGTTCTTGACATTTTTATTGTGCTTTTCCATGAAAAACTTTTAACATTTCTTACAGGACTGCTTGCAATGAATTCCCTAAATTTTGTCTAAAATAATCTTAATTTCTCTTTTATTTATAAAAGATTCACTTGCTGATAAAGAGTACATTGGTATTTTCTTTCAACACTATATATATATATGTACACACACTATATATATATGTATACAGATATGTGCATGTATATATACACTATATATAATATATATATGCATGTGTATATATGTATATACACACACAATGATTACTCTCCTTTTTTTGCATGGTTTCTAATGACAACACAATTGTATTTCTTACTTCTTTTTCTCAAGTAACGTTTTCCTCTAGTTTCTTTCAAGATTTTATCTTTATTTTTACATAGTTTGAATTTGATATGCCTAGGTATACATTTTCTGGGAATTATACTGCTTTCTGCTCAGTGAGCTTCCTGGATCTGTGTTTTAGTATAAGTCATTAATTTTGTAACATTTCACCCATTATTGACTCGAACATTTTTTTCTGCTCTGTCCTCCTGGTATTCCTGTCAGCCATATATTACACTTTTTGAAATTATCCCATAGCCCTTGGATGTTTGATTCCACATTTTTCCGTTCTGTTCTCTCTGCATTTCAGTCTGGGAGGCATGCATGTTGGCATAAGTTCAAGATCACTGACACTTTTCTAGGCCATGTTGAGATTGCCGAAGGGCTCACTGACCGCATTTCTTTTTTTTTTTAGATTTTTAATTTATTTATCTTTAGAGGGGAAGAGAAGGAGAGAGGGAGAGAAACATCAATGTATGGTTGCCTTTCATGTGTCCCCTGCTGGGAATTGGCCTGCAGGGAACTGGCCTGCAACCCAGGCATGTGCCCTGACTGGGAATCGAACCGCGATTGTCTGGTTCGCAGGCCCGTGCTCAATCCACTGAGCTACACCAGCCAGGGCTGACCGCATTTCTGTAATGGTCTTTGGATTTCTCACATATCCTTTTGATTCTTCCTTAGAGTTTCTATCTTAATACTTGTAATTCTCATATGTTCTTACGTGTTATTTATTTTATCCATTAGAGTCTCCATTATATTGACCATAGTTATTTTAAATTTATGTTTGATAATTCCAATATCTCGCTCATATCTGTTTCTGATGCTTGCTTTGTCTCTTCAGATTTGTTCTTTCTTGCCTTTTAGCATGACGATTAATTTTTAATTGAATGTCAGACGTGAAGTGTCAGAAAATAGAAATTGAGGTAAATAGACCTTAGTGTGAACATTATGGCATTATGATTGGAAGTTGTGTTATAATGTTTGCTCTAGCTGTAGGCACCAGGAAATTCAAGTTCTTCTAGTGACCCTGCTTTGGCTGTCCATGGTGTTTTCCGGCCTCCCTATGAACTACTCCTTAGACGGAGGTCTGCAGATCTACTACTACACTAGATCTCTTTTGGCATGCTCAGGTATGACGAAGGACCAGTGTTCTCTAACACTATAATTAAATCTTAGTGTTCTAGCTGCACTGTGTTCCTGAGGTATGGCTTTTGTAAGCATTTTTAAGCTTTTGCACCCTGTCAGTGAAATAGGAAAGCCAGAGGGGGTTGCAGCTGGGAAAATGCCCTTCCCAGGCCAGGGTCCAATAATACTTTGACAAAGTCTTTTTCCTGGAGAGTATGCCTTCATTGCAGAGAAAGTTCTAAACCTCCTTCTATGACAGATTCA